TCTATACTGCCTTCCCTCCAAATTTCTTTTTCTTTTCTAATTTTTGAAATAATTTTTTAATTTACATTATAGTCAAAGGCTTAAAAAGAACATAGTCAGCAGTGCCTTCCTACGCAGCCACATTGCTGGTCCCATGAGTCTTGTAGATTCCAATTTTAAGATATTGCAAGCTTGAGAAAATAGGTTTGTATCACCAAACTCCTACGTTAACAAAAATGCTCCCAGATAATACTTCTCTGGAAGTCAAAGGTAAAAACTGAAAGTAAAGGGAGACGTGATGGTGATTGTTGCTAATTAGAAGACAGAGAGTTAGGGCAGGTCAGTTTATTTATGGACATGTGAAATGTCCGTCAAAGTCATCGTGGTCAAAGGGCTGATTACTTGATCCAACTCCACCCTCTGAGTACAGCAGATTTCTTAGGACTTCTGCCCTATTCTGAGCTATATCAGAATCATCAACAATTAAGACCAAACCGGCTCATTCCATGTTCTTTAGAGCCCCACATTGGTAGCTTTCTGCAAAATGGAATTTACAACTTAATTATCAGTCTTTATCATTTAAATGTGGTTCGTATTGTTTTCTGATTTTTTCTTCAAAGCAAAATTTAACCAAAAAGATACAAAAATTCACCACAGTTAAAATATTCAAATAAATGCTGTGAAAATAATTCCCAAGGTGTTGTGAAAATATAGAATCCATAGTGACATCCCTGTAAAAATATTTAATAGTCCGACTGAATATTTTTGTATATGGAAGCAAGAACTACATAGTGCCTAATAGATCCTGAGTGTTCAATAATTGGTAGTTATTACTAAGATTCAGTTAATTTTCTTAATTTTGACACAAAATGAATATACAACCATACTGTCCGTTTTTTCAAACCATTGACTTATTGAAGACAAAGTCCATCTATAAAAATTAAAGTTTCCAGCATCATGAAATAGTCCTTAACAAAATTTTTGATCAGACTGAATAAAATTTTCCAGTAGTTAAACAATTTCGCCTCAATATAATCTTTTTTTTTTTTTTTTGACAGGCAGAGTGGACAGTGAGAGAGAGAGAGACAGAGAGAAAGGTCTTAAACCTGAAATAGAAGAGATCTCTGAAAATGAGTACAAGCATTCAAGCAAGATGTTTTGTGTTTCATGAGGACTTTCTGACCTACCTGACATTCTATAATAATAATATAATATTATCTTATAAACTTATTATATCATATTTGATATGCTGATATATAATATGATATCATGATATGACATCATGACGTGATTTCCTTTACACAGTAGGTAAGAAGCAAATCTAAATGCTGCTAGGAGACTTCTGACAGTGGATGGTTTCATGGTAAATAACACAAACATGAAAACACTCCCCACCAGGAAGAGATGCACATACTAACTTGAGTCACACAAAGAAACATTAAATAATATATATTCTGCTTTAATAAGGTTTAGAATGGTATAACAGCTTAAAAAATTCCTCCAAAACAATGAAAATACTCTAGGCACCAAATTTCAGTTATTGGGAAAGAGCCACTTATGTGTAATTATTCACCATGATTATTCTCACCATTTAGTCATACTCGTGTGGAACCTGGCTCATGTTGCTTAAAGCTTACCTTCCACATCCTCCTTTACTCTCCCAATTCTTCCTTCCACACATCATTATCTTTTCTCTAGTTTCAAAACAAGATAACTCACTTCCCAGTTGGGCCCTAGCACTACAAGTTCTGCCCTGGGATACTCCAGAGTCCCAGGTAACCCAGGACAATTGGACGCCTTATTCCAGGGCCAAGTACACTGATAATCTTACTCCACCTGTGCCTTGCAGGTGTTACCTTGGAATTATGTAAGTGTTTTAAGAAATCACTGTAACCACCTATAACCCTTACTCCAACGGTTAGACCACTAGACTCCAAGATTCTGACATCAGGAAATAATCTAATCATGAACTTAATCCTTTACCTCACAGAAAGTGCACAGAGCTCACTTTCCGGTATCTAAGGACATACGTAAATTTGAAGCAACAAAACCTATGGATTAAACAGCTTGCCTGCTCTCATATGAGCATTTCCAGTGGGAAATTTCTTATTTTTTTCTTTGTAGATGTTATCTAGGGAGCTGCTGCTTAAGGTCAAGATTCTGGAAGAGTTGTTTGTCATTGTTCAAATGCAGGACTCAGACTGCACCGTTGCCTTTTCTGTTTTGCATTTATTTAATAAAACTATAAAAATAGGGGTCAAGCCCATACAGCACTGGGCTGACCACCTGGTATTACCATTATGCCTCCTGCTTAATTGTCCCCATCACCAGGGGGATCAGGTTACATCCCTGGCTGGCTCCAGAGGGAAGAAAGCAGTGGTGTAGGAGCAGCTAGGTGCCTGCAGTTTTGGGCACGAAAAGAGCTTTGCGGTTTTGCCTGGAGACAGGCCCAAGCAACTCCTCATTAATTGAAATTAATCTGAAGTTTGAAATTTACCCAAATCCCACAACCAGTGCCTTGGTTCATAATTGTTCTACCCCTTGTGAGTTGCTCCCACTGTCCAAACACTAACAAAGGAATTAAGGAACAGATTATGAAAGAGAGGCAGGAGCCCTGTGCTAAGTCCCAGGTGAGGAAGCGAAGGATGCATTTTCATCAATGAGGAGAACAATGAGAAGCAGAAAGGCCTTGGATTGAATGGTGAAGCTGCACCTGGGACACCTGTAGGAGGAATGCAGCACCATCCAGGGCTGAATGGCCTCAGTTTAAATCTCAGCTCCACACAAGGCGTCTTGAGAAAGTTCACTGCAAACCAAAATTAGAAGATGTCTTTATTTTGTTGCAAAAACATTTAAAATATATGCAAATTCTTCCATAATACTCATTTTCCACAAACTTTGTGAAGTATTCTTACCTATTGGTTGTGAATACTTAGACATGGTACTAGCCTGAGACTTCGTTTGTTTCTTAAAAGAGGACAATAAGAGTCATTCTTGTGATGCAGCAGGACAAGCAGCTGCCTGCAAGGACATCATCCCACAGGAGTGCTGCTTCAAGTCCTGACATCCAGCTCTCTGCTAAGGCACCTGGGAAGGCAGCAGAGGATAGCCCAAGCGTTTATGCACCTGCCATCCACTTGTGGAAGACCAGGATGCAACTCCTAGCTCCTGTTTTCAGCTTGACTTAGCCCAGGCTGTTGCAGTCTTTTGCGGGGTGAACCAGCAGAAGATGGAAGAGTTCTCTCTTCCTCTCTCAGTCAATCTGCCTTTCAAATAAATAAACTTGGAAATTTATTATTAATCTTGAAGATTTATCTTTTAAAAATAAAAGAATAGGCCGGCGCCGCGGCTCACTAGGCTAATCCTCTGCCTTGCGGCGCCGGCACACCGGGTTCTAGTCCCGGTTGGGGCGCCGGATTCTGTCCCCGTTGCCCCTCTTCCAGGCCAGTTCTCTGCTGTGGCCACGGAGTGCAGTGGAGGATGGCCCAAGTGCTTGGCCTGCACCCCATGGAGACCAGAGATGCACTGGCTCCTGGCTTCGGATCAGTGCAGTGCGCTGGCCGCAGGGCGCCAGCCGTGGAGGCCATTGGAGGGTGAACCAACGGTAAAGGAAGACCTTTCTCTCTGTCTCTCTCTCACACTGTCCACTCTGCCTGTCCAAAAAAAAAAAAAAAAAAAAAAGAATAATGGAGTCATAGGGTTGCTGTTAATATTAAATTGTTTAATATTCATAAAGAATGTAGAACTGCAGGTTTCTTTCTTTTTTTTTTTTTTTTTAGATTTACTTATTTGAAAGGCAGAGTTTCAGAAGAATATGAGGGAGGGAAGGTCTTCCATCTGCTGACTCACTCTCCGTTGGCTGAAAAATAGAGGCTGGATCAGGCTGAAGACAAGAGCCTTAAATTTCCTCCAGGTCCCCCACATGGGTGCAGGGGCCCCAGGACTTGAATCATCTTTCACTGTTTTTCCGGGTGCATTAGCAGGGAGTTGGATCGGAAGTGCAGCATCCAGGTCTCAAACTGGTGCCCATATGGGAAGCCAGGATTGAAGGCAACAGCTTTACCCACTATGCCACAACACCAGCCTCAGAGCTGCATTTGAAATGTAATAAATGCCATATGAGAATTTGTTAAAGAAAAAATATTAAGGAGCATCCATTGTTTCAGAATGCAAATCTCCTCAATATTTCTAACCTGGAGAAGCGTGTAGTTAAGCTATTCCCAATTTCCTGCAGGAAGTGGCATTTTCTCTGAGACCACATACTCTTGGTAACTTTGTGTCCTGTAACAGTATATGGTTTAGTACCTGAAACTAGGTTTGGAGGCAGATAAAACCTGAATTCCAATTTGACTCCTTCGGTGATTGGTAAGCTTTAACATTCAGACTCAGTTTCTTCCTCTGTAGTAGGGGACAACAACCTGGCTCATTGCCCACAAGCAGTGAATAGAGTTGTTGGGAAACGTTCACATCCATGCTGTTTGTTTTTCTATCGCAGAGGAGCGCTTTCCAACTACAGCGTGGCATTGCTTAGTTGAGACAAAGCCATCCAGGTCCATCAAGCCAAAATCATTTATTGCCTGGCCCCTTAAAGAGTCCTGTTATATAATATGAACCTAATAATACTCTAATTTTTCTTGTGACAATGACAAAATAATATTCCAAGCAAAATCCCACTTTTAGTTGAAGCTCAGCAGAGACTATTATTACCAAAACAAAGAGAATCAAATCTAAAGCTTATAGTATTTTTTGTTAGTTTTGTTTGTTTGCTTTTTGGTCTTTTCTATCCTTTCTCTTGTTAGCCATTCTGTCCCAAAACAAAATACGAGCTTGGTTTCCTCTAATTTGGATTAAACTACTCTGCTACCACACTGCACCTGTCTGTCCAGGCAATATCTATGGCTTATGGCTCCATTCATCCGGATTATCAAGGTTTGTGTCCTATTATGTGGGAACATTTGCTTTATACTTCTGAATCTCCACAGTGGTCATTCGGGAAGCCCAAAGATTCTTGCACCAGTTGATTGTCTGTTTTCAATTTTTTATTTAGAAATAATAAAATAAGACATAACATATAAAAATATGTACAGTCCATGGTTTGTGCAGTACAATAGGAAGACTTTAGATACAAAAAGATGGTCAATGGGAAAATAATAACTATCATGATTGTCAAAGACCAGGATTGCTCCACTCTCTAGAACCTGGAGCAGAAACCTAACATTACTAGAAAAGAAATTCTAGTTTGCCAAAGGTTGAGGTGAGAGGTGACTATGCAACACTTTTTTTTTTCCCACCTTAACATTGTTGGACACAGAGTGAAAAAGAACTCACCCAACTTCTCAGGACAAGCTTTTTGTGTTTACTGAGTGGTTTACTATGAAATATGAAGTGACACTTACTACTTGCAAGGCGAACATGATTTGGGGGACAGCTCATCACATAAACATCAGGATTTGGGATGGAAGTGGATAGGGAAGAATAGTAGGGTAGGGAAGAAATAATGCATTAATAGAACAAAAACAACGTAAAAAACCTTTCTTAGGAATTTGGAAACAACTACAGTGCTATAGTGACATCCTTAAAATGTCTGATTCAAGTATACTCTTAGAGGGATAGAAAACTATTCCTTTCTCAATAATCAAAATAGAATTCACTTTGTCTACCTTTTATTTAAAAATAGGATAACCAGGAATCTATGCCTTCCCCCAAAAATATAGTGCCCATCCAGATATGGGCAAACATTCTTTAAAAGGGATTACATCCTAGGTAAGTTATTAGGGGTTTGCTTACAATACAGAAGCAACTTGCATCTGGAGATCGACCCCAGATATTCACCGTGAGTCCCTTCCATCTGCATTCTAGTGACATGTGTGCACCAGTAAAGGAGACCCAGTCAATAAGGACAAATGTTTTGAAGGTAAAACGCAGCAATAAATGTTGTGCATTACCTGTGTCTTGGCTCTTGATGAAAAAAAAAAAAATAAAAGGAAAAACAGAAAAGAAAAATTGCCATTTAAAGCTTATAACTATTAAAATGCCAATAACTAGAAAAAGCTTTCAAATGAACAGTCCATGCTGAAATAAATAACAGAAGAACATAGCAATACGAACCTTATAAGGCTGGTAAATATTTGCTAAAACCATGCTAACCGGTAGCATATAGGTGCTAGCTCTCAGAAATTGCTGCACTGAAATCATACTTTCTATGGCAATTTTTTCCTTTACAGACTTCTATTTACATTTGGCTTTAAATATGAAAATATCTGATAAACTTTATAAAATGTACACTTTAAAAACATAGCTTCTGCAAAATTTTCTTGAAAAAAAAAAACAAACCTGTGCACCAGAAATTTTAATTTTTTTCTCTTTTCAGAAATAAGTTGAAAGATTTCCCTCCCTCTTTCTTGCCCCCATACCCACCCCCTTTCACAGAGCTCAAGTCTTTTTTAAGTGGCAGCACTGTATGTTTTGGGGGAGCCTCTCTTATGGTCACCCCCTTTCTCCACTGCATCTTCATTTAATTTACATATCACTGAATACTCTTTGGTTTGATTATTTTTTCCTTTGCAAAACATCTTAATAGCAGCAGCTGATGCCTTCAATAGCTTTTCACTGTCAACGGCCAAATTTTGCCTCTTCTATAAACTCTCTTCTTCACTCAAGCTACAGTTCCTCCAACTCCTTAAACAACTTCCCAAACCTGCCTCTGAATCTGGATTTAAAATAACACCACTTGCTTAACATCTCTTTCCTGGGTACACTGAAAATAACTCCATGGTTTTCAAACTCATCAACTTTGAAGGCTGAAAACAGCAAAAACTATCATAGTTTTGCAGGCACTGCATTAGGATGTGGCTGTTCAAGAACCAGAGACCATCACAGACACCAATTTACAAATACATGATTTTAGAACAAGCTGTTTTTTAATGGCATACATGGGATATAATACCATGAGGGAGTTGATTTTGAGACTCCAATTAAAAAAGAAAAGTCGGTAACCCCAGAATTCACAATAGGGAACGTTAAACCAGAAAGAAAAAAAAAAAAAAGAGTTCCATTATTGAGCTAGAGCAGAGAAGAATATGTTTCTAGCAAGGCGGGCAGCCATGTAGAGAGGCTTCTGGAAAGCAAGGTGTCCTTAGTAACCTGCTCTAAGGCTCCAGGAGAGACAATGGTCAGCTCGCATTTAATCCTAAAAATGCAGACGCAAAGGGGGAAATAACCCTGTTAAGACTCTGATCTCCTTTACTTGTGGTTGTGTTCTGTTTCTTGACTCTCTGATTCTATAATACTGAGACATTCTCATTCTTGTCCTCTGCCGTAAAACAAGCACCTTTTTTCCCCTTCTTGAATACCTGAGCTGAGGTGCAGCATCAAAGGGGGTTGCCCACACCTTCTTACTTCCCCGCATGGGCATTTGCAGCCCTCGGTGATACTGCAGGACTCGCTGCAGCAGACAGGCTGATCAGAACAAACCTGCAGAACATGATTCGAATCTTTTCTAAAGGGAAGTCAAGCTAGAAATGTCCTGACTCCAAGCAATGAATTCAACCACAAAGGCATTTATCTTTCATGATGAATGGCTCAGTTTTGAGGATGCTAACAAAGTTCTACCAAGATCTTGTCTTCTGGAATAAGTCATGGAATGTGCAAAATAGAAAAGCCCAGAAAAATCTAAGAGCACATCACCATCTATCACTTTATGCATGAGCCTGGTCAAGCCTATCTGGCAGGAAAGAAATGATGCTGACACTAGTGTATGTGTGTGCGTGTGTGTGTGTATGAATTTTACTTTCCCTTTCTTCTTCCCCTTCTACTAAAAAAAAAGTTTCATGAAAGGACAAAATTTTAAAAAACACTACAGTCATTCAAATCTCTATTCTCTGAATAAGATGCAAAATGAACAAGTGGTTCCAGGACTTGCTGAGGTTCAAGGTTATTGCCTCAATTTCAAGACAGCCCATGGGGGCTTTGCTTCCTTTTTAGCATGAATTCCACTGTGCAAAGACATGCATTATCTTTGGTATTTATTTTAGGTAGTCTAACTTAAATTTTGAGATAACCCATTAACATTATGGAGAAAGAGAGAAGAAAAAAAAAAAACCCAGAGGCTACCATTTGGCTAGTGTTACATAATGCCCTTATGTAACCAAAGAGAGAGAGAAAAAAATCAATTCTAGCAAACAAATTACTGGCCTCAGAAAATCAGGCTCTCTTTTGGCAGTTAATAGCCAAATACTTGCCACTTTGAAGCGCATCATGAGCTTTCAACAAAGTTCAACACTGACTTTTAAATTACATAAAAGAAAAACTACACTGCAACAAAAATACAATTTGTGTTCATGTAGTTAGCAGCTTTTCAAAAATTAAGGCAGAGTCTTGCCTTTGTTATGCCATTAAAAACATTCTTGTTCCCTAAAGAGAAGCATTCTGGATAAGTCAAATACCCAACCAAGGCTTGCCTGCAAGTTCAAGTTTTGTAAAAACACAAAACAATACATAAAAACCCATAACTTATTCTACAACATATATGTGCCATCAGGTCATGCGGAGGCATGTTTAGTGCTTTATGTCAATCATCGAGCTTACAGTCTTCCCTTGAAACTGCTGTGCTAGCCTCAGTCTTGTGTGGCCGCTAGACTTGACCCACCTCTCGACCAGTACCGTCGTCTGTGTAACTGTTTCGGGCCTCTGACCAACAGACTGTGTAGTAAAGTAAATATTCCAGAGAAGGAGTCGGTCAGTCATATCTCTGACTCTCGCCGTAATGGCCTGGGCTCCAGAGGTACGCTGGCCTGGTTGTGAAGGTCAATGTCAGGGGGAGTGTCTGTACTTGTGCTTTCTGGAACCCCATTTTCACTGTCATCTTCCTCTTTGCTTGTGAGGGCGACTTCATTTTCATAGCAAAATGAATTAGCGTTTGACAGGATATATTTCTTCTCTGCTAAGTCTCTGGCACTACACAGGGGAGTGTTGGGTACTTCATAGGTTTTGTGGAACCTCGAATAGTCCACTTTGTAATAGTGCTTCTCTTCAAAGAGTACAGGCTCATAGCGGTGGCCCCAGAGAATTTCATTCGCCAGATAGGAGCTGCGGCACTGTGTTGTCATGGCAGTGGCTTCCACCATGCCTTCCAGTATTACAACAATTTCAAAGTCTGCATTGTCCATGTCCTGTTTACTCAAGTCATATAAAGGGCTGTCTTCATCTATTTCGTGCACTATTGTGATGGGGGACACCAGGAATATACGGTCAATCCCGCTGTCAAACCCAACATTGATGTCTATTTGATCCAGGGGGATATACTCCCCTTCAGAAGTAATTCTGGATTTGAGGAGCTGTGCTCGAACATGGGCTTCCACCAAGTGGCTTTTCCGAAGGTTGCCCACTCGCCACATGAGACACAGCTTGCCATCTCTCATGGCGATCACAGCATTGTGACTGAAGACCAGGGTCTCGTTTCTCTTCTTCGGCTTTGCCATCTTTGCCATGACTGCGCCAATGATAAAGGCATCGATTATGCAGCCCACGATTGACTGGAACACCACCATGAAAACAGCAACTGGGCATTCGTCTGTGACACACCGGAAGCCATAGCCTATGGTTGTCTGGGTCTCGATGGAGAAAAGGAAGGCGGCTGTGAAGCTGTTGACCTCAGACACACAGGCTTTGCTCTCTCTAGAAGCATCCAGATCCCCATGGAGCAGAGCTATCAACCAAAACACACAGCCAAAAAATAGCCAGGAGAGAACAAACGCCAGGCAGAAGATAACCAGCATCCATCGCCAGCGAATGTCCACACACGTGGTAAAGATGTCTGCAAGGTATCGTTGTCCCTTCTCACCCACGTTGATGAACTGGACGTTGCAGTGGCCATCTTTCTTCACGAAGCGGCTCCTGCATTGCTGTCGAGTGTGAACTTTACTCTTCCCATTCCCAAAGCCATTTGCAACTGCCATGGTGGCCAACTTCATCCCGTCCTCCTCTGAAGAGACAATGCTGTAGCGGTTGGTTCGCACGCTGCCCATCGCTTCTGCTGTGGACGCCAGTGCTTCTGCTTTGGAAAACAGTCTGAGTTTTTGTAAAAACCTTTGGAGAAACAGTTTTGAATGCTCAGTGAGGACACACACACACAAAATGAGGAGAGATGAGTGTCTCCAGGGGCCGTGAAGTTCTACCAAGGTCTGTCTACTGACATGCAGCGTGATCTCAATAATTCAGATGCTATCCAGAGAATAAGTCCTGCAAGAAGAAAGAAACTGTTAATTACAAAACAAATCATTCTTGAACAGTATACTCTCCAAGGCAACCGATCTTAAGGAAACCATCAAATTAGATATTGATAAACACAACAGTTTCCTTTGAATTATGGGCTTTTGGTTTCTTGCTAGCCTAAAATCACGTGTTTTTTTTTTTTTTAATTTTATTTAAAAGTAGAAAGTTACCTAACATGGAAAGGTTGTATGTGACAGAGATTCAACAAAAATTTTAAGTCTCTTTTCTCTCTCTTTTATTTGGTTACTTGTCTATAATAGTCTATTTTTCAGGTCTACTTTTCCTCTCACATTCTCTTCTTGTGCCTATCCTACTTGCGACTGTCCAGGGCAATTAAGCAGAAGAGGAAAGACTTTCTAATTCCTGTGTTTGTCACAAAGCTTTTAGAAAAAGGACCTGGGTTGAGAACATCTCACCATAATGCAGCAATGATATTGAGTTAGACGTGCATTCTGGGATAACATTAGAGCCCTTGATGACAAGTTTGAAATCTGAAGGCAGAAACTATTTTATTTAAATGATAAAACTTTGCAGACAGCCCTTATAATCATCTGAAATGGATCCCAATTTCTGGTTACTGTTTGGGCTTGTTCCATCACTTCCCACACTTGAAGCAGCCACTATGCAGAAATGCCTGATAACATCTCTGTTAGGGCGAGTGATTCTGACTTGAAGATGCAGGTTTGCTCTGGGGACAGAGAGTGATTCTGCTGCCTAGCAATCAGAGTCCTGAAATTCTCCTGGGATGGGACTGCCATGTGTAATGACAGGCTAGGAAGTAAGCACCTTTGTGCCCAAGGACCAGGTCTTCAGTGGATTGAGATAAGACAGGAACGCATTTCATGTGGGTCCAAGCTGTGTTCTCCCAAACAGAGAAAACTCTGTAATCAAAGCAGATCATAAATGCCAATCAGCTTACTTTCACTTCGAGTGCTGTTGTTTGCTATAGGTTCCTATGGAGAAGGCACTCACCTTTACTTAATATGAACAAATGGTAATTTTCAGTTTCCACATATCACCTCATTCTCCCTTAGTAAAAAAAAAAAACAACTATCTTTTTTAATTTTCCATCTTAATGCCAACGAAGCTATTCTTTTTCCCTTGACTATCAAAAGCTTTTGAGAAAGCTTAAGGTGTTTTCTTTACCAAATGTACAAAACTAACATACCCGAGAACTCAAAATAAAGGTGATTCTCAACTTTTCAAATAACCACATCCATCTTCTTTATTTAAGGGAGACACTGAATAACCCATCAAAAGAATCAGAAATTTGTTGTGGCTATGATAATGAAGGCTCCAGTTTTTCTTCCTCTCCTAAGGCCACATTATGATTAAGCTGTTAACAAGATCAATTCTAGCAAACCAGATGTAAGGAAATAAAGTAAACCATTTGTCTTACTTTTGTGCATCCCTGGAAAAAAAGAGGCAAGGTGCATTATCTTTGAAAATGCCTCGTTACAGTCTTTTGACTTCTCCCTCTTTATCCAAGTTATTATGCAAGAATGTGCCCCAACACATTTTTCCTGGGATTAGTCATCTGTGAAAATTGCAATGTGTGTTACATTTTGGCAGCTTTTGACACCTAAATGATGCCCAATTTGAAAGTGCCTTTGAATTACTTTATAAAAAGAAGTTACTGTGCCTTCCTAACCTTCCACCTGCTTCAATGTTTTGTCTGCCTTCCTGTGAAGCTTGCACGTGGACAAAAGGAAAAAAGAACCATATTCCTCGGGGTTCTAGATTTTGGACATGGAAAAAAAAAACTTTAGACTGTGATTTCAGTTTATGTGGGTCACATGAAATTGCCAAGCATTTCCATGCAAAGACAGAGACAGCAACATAACACCAAAGGCAGGTGAACTTTCCAGAAACAAAAAAAAGTAGGGAAGAGAGCCTCATTTAAACAGTCTGTATGTTTCAGCTGTGACTGACTTCAAAACCTTACATTATAAGTTGACAACAAGAAATTCCCTTTTCATGATTCAAAACAATCCTTCCATTTGAGTTACCATGAGGGGCTGTGAGTAGACTGTCTCAAATTTCCTCTGTCTTATTTCTGCACTCTTTCCAGATTAAAACATAACAACCATATGAAATCTAAAGGCTGAATTATGACTTTCCAAAAATCTTGACCCCAGGACATTTGTTTGAATTCCACAAATCACACAATACCAGTTTCCTATGAATAGCGTTCCACATTTAGAGCCTTGAAAAGAGGCTGTATTGAGCGACTATTATTGTCTTATTTCCATTGCTAATGACAGAATTTGTTCCACATGTGGAGCATCATTTAGAAATTTTACCATTTCTTCCTGGAAAGAGAAAAATAAGAGATTTTTTTTTGGCAAAACGGAAACTTTTGTCACTTCAAATAGATATGCCCCAAAACAGATTTATGTGTGCATATGTGTGCACACACATTACGCATATTCAGATTTCTGTGGAACTGATTACATAGCAGAAGTCTAGAACCTGCCAAGATTTGATAGGGTTACGGTTTTACTTCTCCATAAAGACTGCCTTCACTGTTAACCTGCCCAAATGCCCAAGTGCTATCAGGCAACCTGAAAATGTCCTTGCCAGCTCCTCTCATTGAAAATCACTAATTTATGAGCATCTGGGAAAGGCTTACATAAAAAAAATAGTGCTTTCATGAAACTTTATTTCAAACAGATACTCAAAATAATGTTTGGAGAAATAGTCCATTAAGAATAAATGAGAACACTACGTGATTGACTTCCCAATGACTACCACTCTGGAGAATCAATACTTGCTTTGATGAACAATGTGTGAATTCCCTGATCAGTCAAAATATGTAAAGGCTGGGATATAAACTTAATGGACACAAATAATCATTTCACCCAGGCCACAACCAATGATGTAGAAAGTATTTCTGGGAAACTGAGAGGCTACATGTGGTGCTGTTCATGTTAAGACTATTTATAGGCTGAGCCAAAATTAAGCATAAGCAATGGAAAAAATAGTTCAGCGCTTTAATCTTAGGTAGATGGGTAGATGTTAAAGAAGAGAGCTGCAGATAAATACAAGGTCAAGGAGTTCATATGGTGCAAATGAAGGAATCTAAATTGTTTTTCCTTATCCAGGAAATATTTCCAATATTGCACATAAAGAATAGAGAAACATCATCATAAAGAATAAATGAGAATAAATGGGTCCAAGAGTATGGCCATGTTGTGCAGTGAATAAGAAACTTTCAGTGTAAGGATAGGAAATAAAGACAGAAAAGAAAATGTACTGGGATGAGAAGGAGGTCTGCTAATGAGTGCTTCGAGCAGCTATTCCCCAGCTGACGCCATATAGACCAGCCTGAGTGTGCTCTGGGCACATGTTGCTATGTGAGCACCACTGCTAGCAAAGCAACCTCTTAGAAGCTCAGTAAACAGAAGGGAGGGGGAAGGAAGGGTACGGAGGGGAAGGGGATACCCACTTATCTCTGGGAGTACTATTTCTAACACTTATATTCAACAGTGCATGTAGCTCAGCATTTATATATGCTGAAAAATATTTGTGTTTCATAAATAAAATATGCTCTTAAAAAAAAAAACCTTGAAACAATCTGTTCAGGTGAGAATGTGGTCAATCTTTCAGGCTACTCAAAAGTCTTACAAAGATTCTATAGCAAACCAGAGATTCTGTAACTGGAGAGTCTGAAGGGCGAAGAAAGACTGTTCTTTAAAATAGAAGAAGCCAAATTCATAAGAATGTAGAGCAGATATCGCTTATGGATAGCAATAGCATTTAAAAACAGGAAGAAGAAAGTGTCATCAAAACAGGAGGAGGAGGGGTGGAGAGCAAAGTAAAATGACCTTGACCCTAACTCTCACCCCTCCCACCATCCTCGGGGTAGCATTTCTGACTCCTTTGAGCATCAGGAAATTTCTAGATAATGGCAAATATAAATAACACCTGGAAGTGAGCACGAAGCAGCCAGCAAGTGTAAAGACAATGTTCAGCCAGCATACAACCATGGTTAGCGAAGAGGGGAACTGGTAAAAGGTAATGTGCATGCTTTTCTTGCCCCAAACAGGTTTTCAAATACTGCCTTATTTCCCGACAGGTAAATTCGGAGTTTAAGGAAATCTCTAGAATTCACATCTTTTTCCTGGTTCCATCCTCCTATCTGCTTACCCAGAACCAGGCATCAAATTCCCCATTTGTTATCTTTCTCTATGTTCTCCATTGTCATGATAAGTTCATGTTATGATGCAATCTTTTTGCAGAATCAACTCGTTTTGGTCATTTTACTTCCCTAAAACCACACTAGTAATATTTTTAAGAACAGCACATTGCTTAAGGGAGAGTGACATATGATGTCAAAGTTTTGCTCTATTGAGGCTCAAATCCAACTGGGACTCCGGCTAGGTTCTTTTCTCCCAGCAAAGCAAAGCAACTTTGAGACGCTTAATTCTGGAACTCAAAGCTATACACGAAGCAATGACCAAAAAAAGAAAGAAAAAGAAGAAAAGACGACAAGGATCTAGAACAGTGCTGAGCCCCAAGGTTTGCCAAGATTTGAGGTCAGAGCTCAAGAGGCACCGACCCACCCAACCACCTTTTTAAGTATTTTTTTTCTTAGAGAATCCAACGTAGATTGTCTCGCCTTTGCCTCTAAACCCAGTATCTCGCTACAGCTGGTGCATTGGAAGTTATGAGCACAAACAGATGCTGCAGAGAAATCTGTTTCTATTGCTCAACTGTTCCAAGCATGTCTCAGTATTTTTAGCTCTGGGGATGTTCTGGTGCGCACACAAACTATAAAGGCATGATCTGGGACTCCGGAGCGTGGGTGAGCGCCACAGCCGCATGACAGCTGGGCACCTCTGCAGCAGCCGGGCAGCGCAAGGCAGGGGACAGTGGTCCGAATCCACTCCCCGGCACACACAGGCAGCGAGCGAGAGGGAGGCGAGAAAACCCACAGCAGCCCTTACCTGTTGCTGGCGCCGGAGCATGGGGACATGGAGTGGAAGTGGGGGGCACAGAAGCATGGAAGATCCAGTGGTTGGTAAAAGCGAGGGAGCCAAAACAAACCAGAATTCCCAAGACCCAGCTTGCCGGCGCCGGGAAGGCTGCGCGCTGGCCAGGGCTCCAGTGCGCTCTGCAATATCCTGGGCTCTTTTGAGGCGGTCCATGCGCTGTCGGCCCTCGTGGTTCCGCCCCCCGGCTGCTGCCGACCAATCGCAGCGCGGAGCCGCTCCGGGGAGGGGAGGATGCTACACCCGCGGCTGGCCGAGCTGCCCGCGGAGCGAACCTGCCGCGGCTTCCTCCTCCTCCTCCTCCTCCACCCTCGGAGCCGGGTCGCGGAGTCGGGCCGGGGCTGGGGAGGAGGAAGTTGCGGCGCAGCTGGGACAGCAGCAGGTGGGAAGCGCCGCGGCCGGGACTTCCGCGGCCGCCTAATTGCTGCCTGGCGGGCGGCGAAGCTGCCTGCCCTTCCCGGAGCCTCACGCGTCGCCGTTTCTGCCCTCCTCGGTGGCGACTGGTGCGGGGCAGGCTCCGCGCAAGGGGCCTGCGAGATGCCAGGGCCCGAGCGAGGGTCGCGCTTCAGCCCGGGCGCGCCTCTCCCCCTCCTCTCCCGCCCCCTCCATCCTGACACCGCTCCGCAGCCCCAGCCCCGGCCCCGGCCCCAGCCCGGCGAAACCCCACCTGCGGCTCGCCCAGGAGCCGCTCCCTCCACGGGGAACGCAGCGTTCCCGGGATCCTCACGGGGCGTGGGCGATCCGGGGTGGCAGCCGCGAGGCCTCTAGGCGATGGCGGGGCGGAGGTGGGTGACTTACGGGGCTCTCCCGCGGGCGAGCGGCTCGTCCCCTCTCGCCCTGTCCGCCCGCCGCCGTCTCCCTCGCCACCGCCGCCCGGGCACGCTCTGTGGATCTGAAATCGGAGCGCTCCGAGAGCCCTGAACTCCCTGCAGCAGCAAAACTCCTACAGACTCCGCGCTCTGCCCTCGCCCCCAGCAGCCAGGCAGGAGCGTGTCGCCCCCAGCCCCGCCAAAAACAGAAGCAAAACTAGACAAAAACCCACGCTGCTGAGCTGAGTTAGCCGGGCGTGGACCCTGGAACTTTATGAATTAATCCTTGCACGTGTGTAAATCAAGGCGCGTGCTTTGGGGTCACAACGAAGCTTTGCTCCGTAAGGACGGGATATGTTGGGAGTTTTTTTTTTTTTTTTCCACGCAATTTGCATTCCCGGTAATTTTTTTTTTTTTAATGTCTGTTTCCTCAAGCGATCTAATAAGGCCTTCGGGCAGCTGATAAAGTTCTCCTTGAGTGATCCAGCTACTTGGACAAAGCAGCTTGTACTCCGGGCGGCACAGCCCGGCGGGTGTTTGCGTGTGGGAGACGCGAGAGTGACAAGGCGAGCAGCCGTTCTGCGCGGGTACCCACCTCCTAGGCTCGTATCCTCACGTGGCCCCTAGGAGGTGCTGGTGAAATGTGCTGAGGTTTTGCAAAGATGAACTTACCCGTGCGTTAGCAAGCTTGCCTCTTCTCCTAGCCGTGAGCAAGATGCTGAAATCGAGAGGCTCCTGGAGCAGGTCGTGCACGCGCTGTGGCTGCTCTGAGAGCCCAGTGGGTCGCTATTCCAGCCCATTTGTCGGGATTTTCAGCACGCCCAGCCCCGTTGCTAGCGGAGGTGCGTTTTGCAGCCTTGTATGTGAGAATGATGGCTCCACAAGGGAGTCACGTTTATTTCTAAACAGCTTTAATGAACTCTGTAAGAGAGATGGATGTGTAAGAATCCAGGCTGTCGCCCAAAGCCGAAAGAAGCTGGAGTCAGACAAATTAACTCTTAGCTCCAGGGCGGCAAAGGAGTCAACAACGCGCTCCTTCTGAAATGTGCTCCCTCTTGGATTCCTTCTCAGACACAAGCTGCAGGTCCAGGGAATGCCTTAAAGCTGTTAAGCCTAGATGCAAGCGGGAAAGGAATCGTTTTTTTGTATTTTCCGTTCTTCATTGCGATTTGATTGGTGCATCTGCAGATGGCTAAGGATCTTCCAACCGTTGTGCCCGGAGGAAGGAGCGCTCCCCTAACCCCTTTCCAGGTAATTAGCTCCATTTGAAAAGCAATCCCAGAGAAAGGAAGACACTTTTTCTGGAATTGAAATTGTTTTCCTTCAGCATCCTATAAAGTGCATACACTGCAGGCCAAGATGGCTCTCTATGTCAGAAAGTATTTAAAGAAATTAGCACAAAGTTAGGAAATTATAGTTGGGTGTATAAATTTATATACCAGGGAGCACATAGTAAATACATCCCAGTCTTTTTTCTCAACCTTCAATCTCACATTCACTGCCCATCCCATTCCCATGGATTGAACATGTGCAGCAAGGCTTATTTCTTCAAAGAGAAAGTTGGAGAAAAGTTAATGTTTTTAATAAGCTTCCCAATCTGAATAGGATATTTACCTTAATTAATTTAGGTATATTTTAAATTTTGTGACAAACTTCATAAATGCACTATTGCATCGAATCACTCCACTGTTTCATTTTTAAAATATTTTTAATGCACATTTTAATTAATAGATGACTTTTCACTATATCCCTATTGGGAAAATTTTTGTGTGCCAAAGGCATCCAGTGCTTGGGTAAATTTGGTTTTTGGAGCGATGTGTGGTGCAGATTTCTGTAGTCAGAGTCTGTCTTTTTTTGGCTGAGTCAGGCCTTATTTAGCAAAAATACTCATTAGATTTGGACACCAGTGCAGGTGGGTGTTGGGATCCATCTGTGGATTAAATTTTTTTCCAAGGAAATGACAATGATGCTGTCACTAAATCTCTCCATGGTAACCACCTATAACATTAGGCACAAATATTAGTCACAGTCCGGATCCCCAGTCAGGTTGTGAATGGTTTGGTGATGTACAGGACGATTGTTTCACTAGGAGCACACATTTTCCCCTTGCAACTAACTATCTCAAACAATTAGACTTATTTTCAGACATCCGTTAACCATACATACAGTTCATTTTCACAATGACAGGAGATGAAAAGCTCCTGGCATTTGCATCAGCTTGGTATTAAGAACTATTTATTAATCTTCTGAGTACTAATCAACTGTGATAAGTCGATCCTTGTTGAATTGGCTTGTAATGTAGACAGGGTGAGTTTACAATCTGCTGCTGTGAAGACAAGCCATGTACTATAGTATTTTAAGGCACTGAATGAAATCCTATCAATTGGCTTTTATTAGGCTTTAATATTAGGCTTTAATATTAATTCAATTATTAATTTTAGCATTAGTTAATTATTAATTATTAATAGTTTAATATTAAAATAATATTAGGCTTTAATAATTATGAAATTTCACTTACCATGTTGATACCTCATTGATATTTAGTCTTCACATTAAATTTAATGACTGTGTTTGTTGAACAACTACTCTGTAGTTTAGCTACTTGCTTGGTGACATGGTGTTCCCGGAAGGAACAGTTTTTGTCTCGAACTATTTTAAATTTCTAATTAAGAAGAGAAACAAATAAAATATTTAAATAACCAAAATAACAAAGCATCCTGTGATTAAGGTCTAAAAGTGGATTGAACAACTATGACAAAAATAATTCTAGGGAATTTCTTAGAGGTGGAATGGAGAGTTATGGGGAGGTCTATAAAATGGAAGGCTTAATAATAGGACACACGTGGTACCATGTGTGGTGGTATTAAGGATGGTGAGAGCATACCAGAAACAGGATTGCTTCCTGTTGTTTTAAAATGCACAATCTGCTCCAGATCATACTAGGAATGTGTGATCATACGGGTAACTTACATGTTGCTTCTAGATTGGCCTGTTCTTACTGAATTCCTTTGTTTGAATACACATTGTTTGGTGTAAACCAATGAGACTTACTCCAAAAGCCTTATTTGCCATCTGTCACTAGTGTAATGTACAGTGGTGATGTCTAATATATCTGTCATACCTGGGAATGCAGCCTCTTATGCAAATGACTTTTAATCAAATTTGTTTGGGTGGACATATATTCTTCAAAATAGTGTATGCACTTTTTAACTCTAGCGTTGCCCTGGTAGCACTTTGTATCTATTAGGAGTCTTTCATATTTTGTCTTTCATACTATTACAAACATTTTTTCATGTCTTTGTTTCTATCTACCAATGGTGGAATTTTTCAAATCCAAAGCTGTATATTTTTCTTTTAATATCCTCATTGCCTTGCACATGAACTGGGTTGTAAGTCGGTCTCCACAAATGCCAGATGAGTGATGAAACGAACAAAAGGAACAATATTTCTGAGTACAATTTGACTTTTGAATAATGACTCAGCTCAATTATAATAAACATAAGTTATTTCCTTCTTACCTGCCATACAGCAAGACTAGAAAATAATGTAGAGCTATCACCCTTCTTTAAATCACCTTAGAATGAGTTTGGTTAAGCTCTTGTTTGCTTCTTCTCCATGAGTGTGAGCCTTCCCTTCCCATTTTTGCTTCTGTCAATGTGCCTTGAATCTGTCAGATTGTCACTGTGCCCTAATTTGTTGATTCTAATCTGTACTTGGCTGAGGAATTATGTAACTAAGGTTGTTAAAAATATTTGAAAAGTAAAAGCAAATATGATCAAATGCTCTAAAAATGTATTTTTGAAATAGCATAAATAATTGCTGAATTTGAAATAACCTTCCACTGCTTAATTTCATTTTGGGGTAAAATAGCTTCAGAATATAGATTTATGACATTTTAAGATACCTTCTCAGAACACTTAGTGTCTGAGTCCTTATATTTGCTGTGCTATGAGCAGATAAGACCTCTGAATGTGTTTGAAACTATATGTCTATGTGCAACAAAATTATAGACTCATTAATTGAAAAACATTTGAGTGCTTATTGTGTCCATCAATGAACTTTACTTTTCATCAGATGCATATGTTAAAATCAACAACTGTAAATGGTACTGTTCTTTAAGAAACTCCAGAGCAGCCAAGTTATTATTTAGTAAATTACCTCTTCTCTCATGCTCTGGAAGACTTTGTTTATCTCACATAGGTCAGACAATTACACTCTGAAAACACCATACTCACTTTAGGGTTGGACCCTACATTACTATGATTCTGCTTCCTTTTTTTTTTTTTTTTTTTTTTTTTTTTTTGGACAGGCAGAGTGGACAATGAGAGAGAGAGACAGAGAGAAAGGTTTTCCGTTACTGTTGGTTCACCCTCCAATGGCTGCTGCGGCTGGCACACTGTGGCCCGCGCATCGTGCTGATCCGAAGCCTGGAGCCAGGTGCTTCTCCTGGTCTCCCATGCGGGTGCAGGGCCCAAGCACTTGGGCCATCCTCCACTGCACTCCGTGGCCACAGCAGAGAGCTGGACTGGAAGACGGGCAACCGGGACAGAATCCGGCGCCCCAACCAGGACTAGAACCTGGGGTGCCAGTGCTGCAGGCGGAGGATTAGCCGATTGAGTTGCAGCACCGGCCCCTTCCTTTTTTTTTAAGATTTATTTATTTGAAAGTCAGAATTACAGGGAGAAAGGGAGAAACACAATTAGAGATCTTCCATCCATTGGCTCACTCCCCAGATGGCCACACTGACCAGGGCTGGGCCAGGCCAAAGCCAGGAGCCAGGAGCTTCTTCCAGATCTCTCACGTGGGTACAGGGGCCCAAGCACTTTGGGTCATCTTCCACTGCTTTCCCAGGCAATAGCAGAGAGCTGGATCAAAAGCAGAGCATCCAGGTCTCCAACTGGTACCTATATGGGATGCCAGTTTTGTAGGGGGTGGCTTTACCCACTATGCCACAACGCCAGCCCTATTACTATGTTTTTTAACCCCATGATGACAAGAATCATTTAATCTGTGTTATCTGTGATCCATTGGCTCTCTCAAGGGTAATGAACCTATAGCTTGATCCATCATCTCTTCCTTAGGTGCTAGTCCTGCCTTAAGCCCAGGCCATCGGCTAGAAGAGGAGACAGCTGAGAAGATCCAAATCATTATACACAGACTCACACTGCCACTGGGGAAAGACAAAAACCTTATTACCAGATGCTCAATATCATCATTTAATAATGGTTATGAAATATTAATAAGAAGACTAATAATAAATGGGCATGCATTGAGGGTGTTCCGGGCAGTAAGCCTTCTTCGTGTGCTTTATAAGACACGCTACATTATACTTCTGTGTTACAGGGATATCTGCATGGGAAAATATGAAAAAGGGCTGGCAGGAGGGAAAGGAGGAGACAAGAAGCTATGCTTTGAAAATGATTGGCTTGGTCGGTGCCATGGCTCACTTGGCTAATCCTCCGCCTGCACCACCGGCACCCCGGGTTCTAGTCCCAGTTGGGACGCCGGTTACTAGTCCCGGTTGCTCCTCTTCCAGTCCAGCTCTCTGCTGTGGCCGGGGAGGGCAGTGGAGGATGGCCCAAGTGCTTGGGCCCTGCACCCGCATGGAAGACCAGGAGGAAGCACCGGGCTCCTGGCTTCGGATCAGCGCAGCGCCGGCTGTGGCGGCCATTAGGGGAGTGAACCAACGGAAGGAAGACCTTTCTCTCTGTCTCTCTCTCACTGTCTAACTCTGCCTGGCAAAGAAAAAAAAAATGATTGGCTCTAAAGGAAACAGAAACACCCTCAAAAGTCCTTACAGAAGGTGACCCTGCTGCCAGCATCCATAGTCTTCCTCCAAGCACAGTGAGAAACACCCTCCAGTAAGAGACACCAAAATCAGCAATTCAATGCTGGTTATGAAAATACCTGTGAGACGGTTGCTTTAGCAATGGCTCTGTGGAAGGCCATTCAGCATCAATTCTTTCCAGAACTGACAAAAAGCAAAACAAAACAAAAACTTCACACAACCAAAACTGGTTACTTTTATAAACATTTACAGACTAGGCTACAAACTGCAAAGAGAATCCAAAACATATTTTGAGTAACTTCAACAGCACTGTAATGATGCTTTTGATAGAAAGGATGTCTACCTGAATGCTTAGATTTGTAGATATAGACTCTAAGAGTTTAAAGATTTTTTTTTTATTTTTTGAGTCTATTTAATATTTTTTGATTTGTTTGTTGTCAAAGTAATGCATGCTGATTGTGGAAAACATAAAAATAAGCACTTTAAAATGTAGAGGAATGTCAGAAAACATGGAAAGTAAAATAAATCCACATCTCTATCATTAGTAGAAAGCCATTACAAATATTTTGATATATCTCTTTCTCTTTTGCCTATTTTTATATGTATTTTATATCATCTGCTTTACGATTTTAACATGAATTGATTTTGGTACATGAGTACATTACTTTTTTATTTATCTAAATGTATATTATGTAATTAAAATCATTTGAAAGCATTTAGGTTAATATCACATATTTTTATGTACATAGCATGTAAGAATCATAGATAATCATCACCTACATTACTATTCATTTTGTTCTTTACTTTTTTTTTTTTTTTTTTTGACAGGCAGAGTGGACAGTGAGAGAGAGAGACAGAGAGAAAGGTCTTCCTTTTGCCGTTGGTTCCGGAGCGCTGCGACCGGCGCACCATGTTGATCGATGGCAGGAGCCAGGTACTTCTCCTGGTCTCCCATGGGGTGCAGGGCCCAAGCACTTGGGCCATCCTCCACTGCACCCCCGGGCCACAGCAGAGAGCTGGACTGGAAGAGCGACCAGGACAGAATCTGGCGCCCCAACCGGGACTAGAACCCAGTGTGCCGGCACCTCAAGGTGGAGGATTAGCTTAGTGAGCCGCGGCGCTGGCCCTTGTTCTTTACTCTTATAAAGGTGCTTTAATTGTCTTTGCAGACTAATGTTTATCTTCACCTCTTTTTTTTTTTTCCCGTTGTTGTTAGAATGGATTTCTGAATGTAGAATTACTAGGTCAAAGGATATGAACCCTTAAAACTATTTTTTTTTTTTTAATTTTGGAGCTTTCACATCAAAATCCAATTTGAATGTCAAGGATGTTCTAAGTAATATGACTTTGATGATGGTGCCAGTATTGCATAGCGGAAAGAAATGAGATCTGGGTTAACCTTACATTTGCAAGATTCACCTGGCACTTACTAGCTATGAAAGATCATTACAGAGATTTAAAACAATGTACATAAATTACCTGACACACAGTTATCACCTAAACAGTAGTAGTTATTTTTACCACTACTGCTGCAGCAGCTATGAATAATGATGAAAATGATAGTCAATAAATGAAATAAGTTAGTTTGGAGACATATATACAATAAGATTTCAAATAACATAGAAATCTATTTGCAATACCCGGGTGAGTGCTAAAACAATAAGTAAAGAGTTAAGTACCTGAGGAGTTTAAGGACATAATATAGCTGTATTTGGAAATATAGGTTGGTATTAAACAGAGAGGAAAGTTAAATGAATTCTCCAATTGATGGCCAAAATTTCAATATATTCATGAATTTTTAAAGAGATACTAGGATTGAACATTATATTTGGTCCAGATTTTAGACTCTTCAGAAAAGAATGCTGAGTTGACATTTCTCCTTTCCCCAGTGAGGGATCCACAGACCCTGAGAAGAAAGAGAAGAAATGTAACGGAGCAGCTGGAACATTAGTGTGACTGCCGGTTCTTCCTCCACTGCGTCTGGCTGCAGCCCTGACAACTTATCTTTTCTTCTGTTTTATTTTCTTTCTTAATATGATTTCTCTAATCTCAATTTTAATTTAAAAGGAAATAGAGATGTAGAAATTATGTTCCAGGAAACCTCCTTACCTAAGTGGAAGCTAAAGATACGGATTCTCAGTCTGCTGATTCCAAATCCAATGTCCCTGCAGGGTATTCCAGTAGCTTTTCATAGCAGCTCTGTGCAGGTGCATCTAGAAACCCAGGGCAGGAGCTGTATTTTTCAGAACCATTTACTAATTCCTCCTAAATTACTTTTTCTTCTGATTTTAAAATGTATAAACCCTGACTTCAGATCCTTGCAAGGGACACAGTTTTAAATGTTTGGCTCCATTCCCATACTTCCCTGTGGGAAAATTTCTTCCATTTTTTAAAAATAAATGTGATCAATATCTGCGGATTTGATTGGACTTTTCCTCTGTCTTTGAATAGTTTCCATTTTGTAAGCACACATCCTCAACTGATGATTAATTCTAGTCTTCTGATATATGTTTGTTCTAATATTTAAAGACCTTGTGGATAATTCACAAATAAATAAAGCTTTTAGTACAACTATGAGAAAATAAAATGCAGAATCACAGAATCCGACTACCACCAATAACATTAGTGATTAATGGTAACACAACATTAACAGCATTATATGGTTATTAAAAGAAGATACAAATTATTTATGTCACCGCTTATTTTGTAGGTGCTTAGTTAGATACTTTTATGTACTTAGCAGGATGAAATCCAGATACTTTTTCTATTGCATCTGCAGTTGAGCTACCTCCAGTCTATTTTAAATGGCACTATAAACAAGTGTTTTAGAAATGGTTTCTAGCATTAGCAACAGAGAAACTCTGACATTTTAACACGAATTTACATTCTGCCATCAGTGTTTCAGTTTCTGATCTTTTCATCAGCAAAGATCTCAACTCAAAACTTTATTTATACCGAAGTATATTCTTTTGTATGGTTTACATAACTGAATCACCAAATTCAAGCAAGGCAGGAACCAGCACTGTAAATAATGCTGTTTTTGCAACCTGACTGTGGTTTCCCTATATGTAGTCTGAAATATGTGAAAACTTGTAAGGGGCCTGTTAAGTCAACTTGGGAAAGAAAGCAATCAAGTCAGAGAGCTAGCTTTTTCTCATTTACTGAGAGTAAAGTGGGTTTATGTGTTAACATACACAATCATGTTTTCAAAAAATTCTTGAAAAATAATGATAGATTTCCCACTTAGGCAAAGGTGAAACTCCAAAGCTATTACTCTTACTACATATTATTTTGTATATTAAGAAGGTACCGCCTTAATACAGATTAAACTAAAAAGGAATATACTCATACTTAACTATTAGTTGGCAGAAAGCAAATACCATGCATTCACAAGCACATAATACATACAGCTAAATTTGTTGACCCAGTAATGACACATCTAAAACCCTCACAAGAGGAGGCAGAAGGCTAAGTTTTGATTCGTAGTGATACGTTCTGACAGAAGAGCTGTGATCAGCTCTAATACTCCCTTTTTCAGTAAATTGCTTTCATGAATCTGATTTTATGGTGATTACAGCCTGGTTACATTTCACAATTTTCAGTTTAAAACATCATCTACTCATTCATTGCACACACATTTCTTGTGCACTGAAAATATGAAAAGTTCAGAAATAGGTAATGATAACTCTCAGTATTTTTAAAAAGAAGAAGAAACTACAAATCTCTGAGGTTAAATGCCTTCAGTATTTCAGTAAATCAGGAGCTAAGAATGCATAACTTAAGCCATCCCCTTAGAGTAGAAAACAAGGAAAATATTCTTTGTATTTCCTTACAAGAGTAATCTGAACATTTACCTGGTCAAAGCATCATTTAGCACAACAGGCTTAATCACCAATGCGGTATCCATAGTTTCAAAATCCAGGCAGTATAATGGAAATTTATGCAAGTCTCCTTAATCCTGGGCTCAAAATGAATCAGTGCTCTTCCCTAAGTGAATCAAGCACAGAAATTAGTTTACTGCTCTCTATGCCCTATCTTCATTTCTCCTGCACTGGTTGCCTTGGTTCATTTTTCTTCTCCTTGGTCCATACATTATTTTAAGTCCTACAAAAAGGGGATCGGGACCCAATCACAGTTGTTGATCCAAGCAGAGCTCTCCGAATTTTATTATGAGTATAATTCAGTATTTGATTCACCTCTGGAATTGCAGTTAAAGACCTACATGATTCCAGTTCACTGAAAAGCAATCCCTACCAGAGGAACATACCAGAAAAGCACCATAACACTTGATCTTCTAAAACCAAGCCATACCCCACAGCCTGAGACAGTCCAGTCGGTAGGGAAAAAAAGAAGAAATAAAATCGTTTTTTGAATTATTTCTCCATCATGGGTAGCAACTCTCTGTGAGTTGACTTATAGACCTTGACATAAAAAAAAAAAAGAGAGAAAGAAAAGAGAAAAGCAAGAGCTGCAGGCGTTGGCAGGTGCTCTATGCTTTCTCCTGTCTCCTGACCGCCTTCCGAGTCTCCATCAGAGGCAGCCTGATCTGCAGCCCTGCACATGGAAACTGAGATCTTTCCTACAAAAGACTTTACTCTTCATGTCACTGAAGACCCCCTCCAACCGAGAAAATATTTTCTCACAGGAGAGTTTAAGAAAGTCTGAGTTCATGCTCTATAAGAGTTTCATAATTTCCTCTCTGCAAATACCAGGGTATTTATTTGTCTTACGTAATTTCCAGGGAATCAGATGCATGACCTGACTTGTATTCTGCTGATCTACTGAGGGACCTTACCGTCAATCAGTCACCCTCGGTGAGAATGTACTCAAGGGCTGATATATGACTGCAAAGGAACTTAACAATTCCTGGAAGGAAAAGGGTTAAGAGCCAGTAAAAACAGCATAAATTTACACATGACCTAGTGTGGGTGCACTTTTATTCTCTTCCTTGCAAGGAACAAGAACAATGACAACCTCCATAACTAATGCTTCTGGTTTAAAAAACCTTCTTCCCAAAGGATGTGTTTTCACCCACTCAACAACCTTCTGGTTAGAAAGGACCTGTAGACAGAGATGCAGTAGCTGGTGAGTTCTCTCTGCAGAGGATCTAAGATGTTCATTACATCATGGAAAAATAATCTCCACCATTGTGCTGGAGGGAGCGGCCTTGTATCATTGGCTTGCCATGCTCTGATTCTGGCTGACAAGTTCTAGAACTGTGTTTTGTCCCAACCTTAACTTGCTTGGAAGGGGGATAGTTTGAATAGCCAGAGGCATTGGTTCCAGAAAGAATTATGAGCAGATAAAAGCCACTGCAGTGGCTTCAGTTTAAAAAAAAAAAAAAAAAAGGAAGAAAGCAAGCAAACTGGCTGTGATACCACCGCCTTTCATCAAGCAGAGTGCTTTGCCATTTCTTTCTACAAAATATAGAAAAAGTCTCATCTAAGCAAGTCAGAAGTGGCCGGGGACAAATAGAGGACACGCGTTGGTTTGCCTTTGTAGATGAAGTCAAATGCACTGAATAGTAAGTGAAGCAGATGCTCACCCCAGGAAACTGGTGGCAAACTGAACTCTCAGTAGTACGTGTCCCCGGCCAGCAGAAAGTGGGCTGTGATGGACTGCGGCCTCCTCTTTCTTCACAGTCTTTAATCACTCAGCAACCCTTTTTCCTTCCTTTCTTTCTTTCCCCTTTATTTTCCAGAAATTTTTCACAAGCTTGAAAGTAGGGACATGGGGAAAAGCTGCATTCATTGGCTGTAGCTGCGATAGGGTGGCAGAGGATTCCTGCTACCCCCCAGATGTCAGGGCACCACAGCAGCTGCCCTGGAAAAATCTGCCAATGCACACCTCTTTATTCCCTTTCCTCTACTCCTCCAGCCTGCTGTCTGCTGCAAGTTTCTCCAGGAAAACCTCTACAGTGCTTCCTGACCACAGGGCACAGGTATCTAGAAAGCAGATAGAAGAGCTGGCTTGAGAAGTTTGGGTTACTGTTGGATTAAAAGTGCTAACACAATACTGAATTAAAATGGAAAAAGGAGGAGTGGCATTTGGCTAGGAGGTTAAGACTTCAGTCACACACTGGAGTATATTGGTTCAATTCCTTCTTCTGTCTCCTGATTCCAACTTCCTACTAATGCAGATGCTGTGAGTCATCAGTGATGGCCAAAGTGGTTGGGTTCCTACACCCATGTGGGAGGCCTGAATTGAGTTCCTGGCTCCTGGCTTCTACCTGGCCCAATCCCAGTCATTATTGGCATCTGGGGAGTGAACTAGCAGATGGGAGCTCCGTGTGTGTATAAGTGTGTGCATGCATGTGTTTGTACCTGACTTTGCCTTTCTACCTCTCAAATGAAAAAAAAAAAAATAGGAAAGATAATAATGCAGAAAAATAAAGAAACATCAGAGATCATATTATTATTATTGGTTTTAAGGAGCCAGTATTCAAAATAGGATTGAGCATTTTCAATGGAAAATAAGCTAGATTACGAAAAGGACCCAGAACAGAGATATATGTGCTTTTTAGCACAATATCTTTGTAAGACTAGGTTCATATAAAGTAAAACTCTGGGCCTTTCTAATATTTGAAATTGAGACTGCCACACTTCATGATTCTAGATTACAGTTCTGCAAACTAAACCTAAAGACCAAATAGGACCCCCCACCTATACAGTCTATGGGCTAAAGTTTTATTTTATACTTCTGAGGTGGGAAAAGAACGCCATTTCGTGACATTTGAAACTCTTTATTAAATCCAAATGTCTGTATCATAAATAAAGTTTTATTGGAACACGGCTATGTTCATTTGTTCACAGATCGTGTGTGACAGCTTTCAAGCTACAACAGCAGAGCTGAGCAGATGATACAGAGACCATATGTGGCCCACACAATCTGAAACATTTACTGGCTGCTCCTTTATGGAAAACATTTGCTGAGTACTGACCTGGGGAAATACTACGGAATACCAGGTGGAACTAAGTAAAAGTGTAAGAGCTTTTCCTTACCTCTGATTCTTGGAAGCTGACTATATGTAACCCAACAATTTATTTAACTGTTGGTACTTCTGTGTTAAAGCAGAGATAAAAATGCCCTTAGATGTATTTTACAATGTACCATATAATCATTGCTAAATATGTACTCAAACAGTAAATGTTTTTGATTCAAAGTAATTACAGTTGACATGTTTTGATCAAATATCCTTACATGTTAAACTTAAGTGCCTTCCAAGTGAGTTCATAAAATAGACTTAAAGTTATTATTAATATCAATTATTAAAAATGAAGAAGTGTAGGAACTAATGCCGTAGAGGTTAAATTTTGACCTATTTTTCAATACTGTATGTTTTCTTGACCCTCACAACCCTGCACCTAGACTGTTTTAAGCCTGCTGGTGCACAGAGCTGCCTGAGGGTCTGTGAAACTCTCAATGAGGTTTCTTGCTTTGGGTTGCTCCACCCAGTATGTCTTCAATCTGATCTCATTAGTAATCATGAAGTATTGCCTTGAGAGTGCTTACTGATTGAAAAATAACTCCAAACCCAATAAATAATTGAATAAACTGAATTATGTAGATTCAAAAGCCCTATAAAATGTTTAAGAATTTTATTGAATTCTGAAAAAGATAATGCTATAGGCCGGCGCCGCGGCTCACTAGGCTAATCCTCCGCCTAGCGGCACCGGCACACCCGGTTCTAGTCCCGGTCGGGGCGCCGGATTCTGTCCCGGTTGCCCCTCTTCCAGGC